TCAGCTTAAAAATTAACTATTCGTCCTTGTGAATCCAAAAAAATTAAAATATCCTATTGCATTTGTTACCCATATTTTTATTCTACATTGCATTGAATTTTTTTTAACAATTTTTGGAATTAATCATATCTTTGAAATTACAAATTCCTTCAAAATAAATAGTGCGGTCAGAGATACAAAAAAATATAAAATTCGCCACTTTAAATAAAAAAGTAGGTTTCACACCCATTTATTTATTATTTATTTCATGGTAGGAGAGCTTCTCAAACAATATAGAAGCATTTTTTCGATTCAAGTTGTTGAAAAGTAATGGATATCTAAATCCCGAGACTAATCCCGGGATTCCGGGATTGTGACAACGCCATCCCGGAAATCCCGGGATCGGAAAAAGCTGAAAAATTAACATCCGTAGTACAGACATATCTATGTACAGTTCTGCACATAAAATTTTTGTTGAATTTGTTAACTTTTTCTGGTGATTTTCGTAAAATATAAAAAAATGTTGTGGCAGCACTGAAATCAGCTATAAATGCAAGGGATAATCCATCCTGACCTTCGTTTTTTAATTTTAAATAAAACATTAAAACAGAACTGGATTTCGGAATCTTTATTATTTTCCGAAAGAAAAATCTCTGACATTTACTTTTTTTTTTTAATTTCATTCAAACGTTGGCCGCGACTACGCTGTAGGTGGTCCATTCGGGAGGTCCATATTTCAGCTACTCTTTCTAGCAATGCGCGAACTACGGGAGAAATGTTAACGAAGACTTTTGACTTCACATAACCACAAAGAAAAAAAATCCAGACGTCTGATATCACACGATAACTTGCTGATACCAAATGTTGCCGCCATCACGGGCTTCAATTTCAGGCAACAAAAAGTCAGTCATTAAATAAATAAATATAAATTAATTAATAAAGCATAAAAATAATTAATTAAATATAATAATATATAAATTAAGCATTCTGTTATATGAACGCCCATACTCTCTCTTCGTTTATACTGGCGACAGAGTTGCATTGGTTTCAGTTTATCAAGATTATTCAGTGAAATCGTTGACGAAATTTATCAGAAATGTGTAAATTGGTGCATTAATTTACACAGTTTACAGATTATAAATTTATACAGTTTATAAGGCATTTATAAGGTTCGATGAATACCCTTAGTATTTTTTAACGACATATTTTGTATGGAAAGAAGTATTGGTTTACATCTAAATCATAGCTGGGCAAAACGCTACTCGCGAGTAGCGTCTGCGTCGCAGCGCTTAAGGCCCGTTTACATACAACTTTGGCGTTGCGTTGGCGTTGGCGTTGGTTTGACAGAACGCACGTTAAAAGTATGCTTGCTACAATGAACGCTTGGCGGCGAATCCTTGGGCCACTAAATTAACATATTAACGACAGATAAATTAATATTTCATATCAATAATTGCATTAAAAACGATATTTCTTGCCCGCACTTGATTAAAAAGGAAAAATATTTCACATAATTTTATTTATTCGCAACAGCTGACGAGCGACGCACGCGAAAAGTTGAGAGTTGGCCATCTTTTTGCTTTGTGTTGGCGTGAGCGTTGTCGAATTATGGCTATGTGGACGGCTGCATTTGAATTCATGTATTCATAGTCAGCTGTTGAAGCGACGCCAACGCCAACGCAACGCCAAAGTTCTATGTAAACGGGCCTTAATACGTATACAGAAACGACGCAGCGAATTTCAATTCAGTCTGCTTTCAGATTTCATGAGAGTAACACTATGCTTCGCCGTTGAATATTTTTATTCGTAATTTTAGCGCGTGGTTGCCACCTATATATGTAACAATGCCCAAAATGTCTGAGTATGAGTGCCAATTACAGTTTTTGGTTTTAAAAAAAGCTAATAATGCCCAATGCTTGTTGTGTGGTAATACGACCATTAACCATAAACAAATGAAAAAAACGCTCCACTCAGTGCAATTATAGAAAAGTGCTTCTCAGCGCGACGCACTAGGGCACACATTGCATACTTTATTTTATAATATTTTTTTTATCAAAAGAAATCGATAGAGAAATGTAAATGCTGGTTTATGCCCAAAAATACTTAATGAATAATATTTATAAGTTATACTCTATTTTTAGGACTAAATACCTACTTATATGAAACAAGTAATTTTTACCAAGAAAAAAACCGACTTCGACTCTCATATAAAAAAGAAATATATATATATATATCTCACGATCCACTGATCGGATCTTAACCAGATTAGTATGGGACCACCTCTGAGACACTACCTTTCCGATGCAAAAAGAATTATCGAAATCGGTTGACGTGGTCCAAACTTATGCGGTAACATACATAAAAAAAAAAAAAAAAAAAAATTCCGACGAACTGATAACCTCCTCCTTTTTTGGAAGTCGGTTAAAAAATAAGACCTAAACACCGTAACCATCTGGCCGGTCAGCATATAAAAGAATTTGTTCTAATAAAACGGAGCCCAGGTATTATACAAATGAGTTTACCTAATTTAAGTTTTTTTTAAATTATACAAGTACTAAATTTTTCTTATGCAAAAGGTTGTATAAACTAATAGTATTAGTTACTAAAAACTTCCAAGGTTCATTATTACACTATAGGTATAAGCAAAATAGGCCAAAATACCCATGTACGAAAAATACCACTTTTAGTACATTTATAAAAAATGCGGCAACCATAACTGAGCGCGACGCACTAATACCATGACAAAATGAGACTGTGTTGGTGTGCCCAGCTATGATCTAAATGCATAAAAACATACATATGTGTGGGTATGTATGTACATTATGTCGTAATGTTAAATAATAAATTGCATTGACAATATTGCATAAAAAATAGTTATTAATTAAAGCTATTCAGAAATCAGATACTTTATAGAAAATAAAAAGTTATGATGTTTCAAAGAAACTTCTAAGAGCATAACACGCTTAGCTCTTTCAAAAATTCTATTTCCCATATAGTACATAAATAAAATTGAAAAGATTGTTTTGGTTTCGCGAAACTTGCTAAAAAATTCCTCTGAGCAAATACCGACGCAAACAGTTCATGAGTTATTAAATTTTTTATTTCAAGAATTACTTTTAAATTAATAAGTGGGTTATTCCATAAAAAAAAGGAAAACAAAGAACATTTCAAAATGCCTTAATTATCCATTTTTCAGTAGTAACCTCTTGTTAAATTACTACATTTCATTAAACTGTTGAAAAAAATAAATAAATAAAAGGAAGCTGTGATTTTTGCTAACGAAACTTTACACTAGTCAGAAAGACCTGTCCCACTAGTCACAATTTTAAATATTTCCTGGAAGATTATATCAATCTTATTTTTAATGAAAACTAAATCTTATAATATATACATTAGGGCTGTGCGATTATTCGATAACTCAAGCAAGTTGGTTAATCAGTTATTCGATTAATCAATAACTCGAGTAATAAAAATTGTGATTACTCAGAACGAAGGCAAGTCGAGATAATTAAAATATGATTACTCAAAAAATTAATTTTTCTCGTTAAAAGAGTTTGCTTTGGAAAATGCTAAATTGTTTATTACAATGTGTATAAGAAAAAATGTTTCACAATTATTTGGGCCAAATTCTTATTTAATATGTTTGCTGGGTTGGTTTTCGCTTTTAACTTTATCAACCGAAGCAGCTCCAACCCAGCAAACATAAAAAATATTTCATTTGAATTTTTGAAAAAAAAACCTTGTATTCGAAATATCAAGGGCTTCTACTTCTTCATATTTAAAGAGTGCTTTGAAAATTTGATTACTAATTTTGCTCAAATATTATTGTTTTTTGGTTAATCTAAATATTGGTTGTGGAGTAGTGGTAAGCAGTGCGCGCTTTCACTCATCAGCACCTGGGTTCAAGCTCTTGTCAAAGCAATATCGCAAAAAATATAGAAAAAGGTTTTTTCTTAACAGCGGTCGTCTCTCGGCAGGCAATGGCAAACCTCCGAGTGTATTTCTGCCATGAAAAACAGCTTCTCATAAAAATACAATCGCCGTTCGGAGTCGGCGTAACACTGTAGGTCTCTCCGCTTTGTGTGACAAGACCAAGGCGCACGCCACAAGTCGGAGGAGAAGCTCGGTCAAACACTAACGTATGTGTAAGCGCCAATCTATTATTATTATTATTATTATTATAAAATATTGATTACTCGAGTAACTGAACTTTTGAGTAACCATTATTTCTTATTTACCTTATGATTAATTAAAGTGTTGAATAATCAATTAATCGCACCGCCCTAATATGCATATTTCACAGCCCAAAAAAAAAACCTTCCTTGTTAATTAAGTGTTTTGGCAAAGATTCGTTTTTCGAATGCACATAGATTAAATAAATGGATTTTCAGTGTCCCACCAGTTACATTCATTCAAATAATAGTAACAAAAAACTTAGAAATCGTTAGGTATCTTTTCAAAGGATTTTTATATATTAGTAGTATCAGATTTTCAGGTATGTACTACAGAAAAAAAATATCGCTGAAAGCACCCTAGTATACATACATATATGTATATGTATAACAGCTACTTATAAGTACATCCGTCTGCTTATTTTAGACAAGATAATTCGAGTCTGCCAATTATTTAATTGCTTCTTATGTATTTGCTTCATTGGCAAATATCAATGGGAACATTTACTTTAATATCTTGTTTTTGGTTATGCGGTTTAATATTTAAATATATATGTACATATGTATTAAGACATATATTTGTGCATATTTCTATGTACGTTTATACATACATATTTATACTAATACGAAAGTGTGAGGGTTTCGACGTTACCTGAGAGTGAAGTTTCCAATCTTTGTAAGCTTTCACAATGTAATCCATTTTTATATTGTTTTACTTTTTCCCCGGTTCTTTCTATTCCACTTATTTATCAAGGCTACACTCAGTTGGTTACTGTGTATGGCAAGCCGAAATGTGTTATATCGACCAATTCACTTATTGGAAACAATCTGAGTCACGATCGTCTTTTACTGTCTCACACTTGTAGTAGCAGCAAAAACTTTCACAGCTGATATATGTACTTGTATTCGCTTTGTAAAATAAGCACTGGTGCGTTCATAAAACCATGTACATTTATTTATTACCAACTTAATTCTTTATGTAGAAAAACACCAATCCTTTACACGATTTTATTTTTTATTTATTTCTTGTTTAAGAAAATAAGTAAAACTGAAAGATCTGCTTTGTTGGATATTGATATTGTATATGTAAGGCCTAGGTGCGTATAAAGGTAAATGACTTGGGCTGGAACACACTTAACGGTTGTTACGAACGTGATTCCCTCTATTATAAACCGCACTCCGGGACGCGAACGTTGGCTGTGATGTGCTTGTCAGAGAACTTAATGTTGTTGGTGTGCTGCAAATTATTATTCTGCATGGGAATTCACCGTTTCAGTGGAAAATGTGAAACAACGCGGACTTCAGCGCGCTACTTTAGTGAATAATTCAATGTACATACATACATATGTAGTTAGCAGCGCATGCGAAACAGCTTGAATACATTACACCACGTTTTACTAATTATTTTAACTGTTGTTAGCCAGTAATTAAACGGAATACTTAATTGTTTTGTACCTATTGCAGATTTGTCATTTTTCTTTTTGTTTTATTTGCAAATGGCTATGCATTTAAGTGTCTTGAACTTCAAAGGCGCTGTTAAATAAATGCCCACCTGAAAGATTTTTTTGCGAAATATAATCTATGAGTGACTGTTCCTCGTCTATGTATGAATCTTCATACATACATATGTACTTGAGTAGGTTTCACACACACTCTTACATACATACATATATCTACGAATTTTAATTTTCTTGTAATCGGTGCGCGTGGCAACAAATGTTGATTTTCATTTTTTGTCTGCTGAACACTACCCGGTGGTTTTTGGTTTTATTAAAAAAAAAAAATTTAATTCACTGTGAGAACGTCTCTTGACTAGTAGAATCCGGCTTGTACCCGTTCACCAGCTGTTTGACCGTCACGGCGTCAAATGACTGCGTTGCAAGACCAAACAAATAGAAAAACAAAGGCAAAATAAGGAGGATTAGGTTGATGTTTGGCTAGTGGGTTGGTGAGTGATCGAGTGTTTAGGTGGTCGGAGTAAGAGTCTCGGACTCGACGATCTTTCTCGTAGCGCGCACAACTAACTCCGTATCGCGATTAATACTGACTGACTACTCTACTGACGGCTAGTGGCTTGCGATTCTAGCGATTTTCTGCTGCTGACGGCCACCTCTACCTACAGCTGTTTCAGTTGGCGCCCCAGTGAAACACCTACGAAGTTGTGCGTATCCATGGTTTGTCATGGTAGCGGTGGGGACAAACCGGTGTGACGGTGTGGAGAGCATTACACATGAGCGTCTTGTATACTTAGTAAATACATATGTACATTCACATGTCTGCATTTATGTATGTTCATTTGTATTGTATGTATGTACATTAAAGTGGTCCAAAAATGTATGTAAAAAATAAGGTCGGATTTTTAATGCCGCCACCCCCTAGTATTGTTATATACCGAAAAAATATACCCATATTTTTTTATTTTGAAATAAAAAATAATTTAGGTAGTGCTCAAAGCGCTCAAAGTTTTCCATGTGTTTTATATGGAGAAAAAACATATTTTCGTAGAAATAGTGTAGAATTCTTGAAAATCAATATTTTTCGATCGGAGAACTTTACTTATCTTTAGGAGATTCCCAGTAATAATACTCAATTGTTTCTTTAACAATTTTTTCATGGTAACTATATTTTATAGGTCCTCCAAAGCCCTAAAGAAATGCAATGGGGCGGACCAATAAAACATCTTTTATCATAAAAAATGGTTAAATAAACAATTGGATATTAATACTGGAAGTCTCCTGAAGAGAACCACAGTTTTCAGGTCGAAAAATATTGATTTTCAAGAGTTTTATACCATTTCTACGAAAAATTCTTTTTTTCTCCATATAAAATACATAGAAAACTTTGAGCGCTTTGAGCACTCCCTGAATATAGAGGTATATTTTTTCGATATAGATCAATCCTAGGGTGTGCCGGCATTAAAACTGCGACTTTATTTTTTTTGGACCACTCTAATGTACATACTAGCGTATTAACTGTGTGTTCGTAAGCGTATACTTTGCATGATTGACACATTTTTTTTAGTATATGTATATCAACCAAAGAACGGACGGCCACAAATCATTGCCTTTGTAGGTGCAGCTCGCTTTTCACCGCCCTCGCTGCACCACTTCGCCTTTTTATAATATGTATTAATTTTCGTCACAAATATTAAGATTTTTTAATGATATTCAAAAGATCATTTTGATCTTAATTCAGCAAATGTGCACTCAGTAGAACACCGTCTGAGTTGTGAGGGCCACATTTCGGCCTGTTGTTGTATTGGTAATGTTTTTGATGGTGTTCGTCATTAAAGCCTGTTTAAAGTGGTTTCTTTTTGTTTTTTTGATTGCGGATACTCTATTTATGTTAAAACAAAAGAGAGGGGGTGTATGAGGTAGGGGCGCTTTGTGTTTGTGCAGCTCCTATCATTCAACATGCGCGGGTACATTTACGTTGTGTGCGCGTACTCGTTCTAAATTTTTAGTAGTTACTGAGTTTGACGTTTAAACAAATACAAACAGAAGCATTGTTTATTGTTGTGATATGAATCTAAAGAGCTACTATTTATTTGATAAGAGAACGACTTTAATGCAGCAAGAGAAACAATGAACTTCATGTACATATGTAAGTACTTAAATATTGTATGTATGTATATTTACTTTATTTTGAAATAAGTTCAAATGGGCGCTTAGTGCAAATGTATTACTAAAAGAAAATAATAACAAGCAAATGATAGTACGAGTAACTACATGCTACACCTTTAGTCACAACGTAGATATCGGTGATATACATTCATATCGTCGTTTAAACTGCAAAACCGCGTAACTGACATTTGCTGCCAAAAATTGGATTTGCTCACACAAGCTCTTGGCTCAATCCTTATCCATTCGTCCTGAAATATACTAGCCAGAAATGCGATTGCTTTATAAAAAACAGAACAATTTTGAAATACGCATGTGTGTTTTTTACTCTCTATAAAACAATTTATGCAACCTCACACAAGCGGTTTTGTACTTTAAACGACGGTATATACATACATATGTTTTGGAATACACTAGCACAAAGTATGCATTCGTTAGATAAGAGAATTCGCAGAGCGGAAAACTGACCCAGAAATTTACAGTGTCTTTATAGAGAACGCTGTTACCCATTGGTGCCACTGAATTAGTGATGCAAAGGTTTCTTTCCATTGATAACATTTTAATGAAAAAACACATAGTAAATCAATGATAAACTTTCATTTACATGCATATCGTCGTCAAAACCGCGTATCAGTAAAATGCAAAATTGCGTATGTGAAGTTGTAGAAATTATTTGCTAGAGCGTAAAAATACTCATATTTTAAGATGGTTCTCTTTTTTATAAAGCAATCGCATATCTGCCTAGTATATTTCAGGACTAATGGATAAGGATTGAGCCAAGAGCTTGTGTGAGCAAATCCAAGTTTTGGCAGCCAATGTCAGTTACGCGGTTTTGTACTTTAAACGACGATATATACACTCCTCGTCATTTGAATAGCGTGCCCTTTTGATCCTCAGTATTTACAGTTTTCTTTGTGTTTATTTAACTTAGTCATTAATATTTTATAAACATATAGCGTATTATGCACCAAAACCCTTTTAAATTCGAATTTCAAATTTTATACAATTTAAAGAAAAACGTCAACAAAAGAATGAGGTAATACTATTTTTGGAAAAACTTCGGGTATGTAGTTTTTATCCCATGCAATTTTAGTGCAATAAAGTGCAAGTTCTAAGTGGCTATAAAATACCGGTAATTTTGTTTAATTTTTTTTTTGTTAGCAGTGAAATGCATTTTTCTTCCATACAAAGTATGTTCGACAAATTTTTTATCTGAAAGAAAATGCGCAGCAACAAAAAAAAGTGGCAAAAAATCAAAGCTATTTTGCAGCTACTTGAAACTTGCACTACTAAAATTGAATGATTTATTAACTTATTCACTGCAGGTCATTAGGATAGCGCGCCCCTTTGCTGAAGCTTTTTTTAAATTTGTATAAAATTTTAAAATCGGATTTACACGTTTTTTTATTGTAGAATATGCTACGTTTTCATAAAGGCTTAATGAATATCAAACAAACAAAATGAAAACTGTACATACTCAGGATCAAAAGGATGCGCTATTCAAATGACTAGGAGTGTACATCCGTAAGCAATTTATTTATTATATTTGGATTCTCCAACACGCAATATGTATGTATGTAACTTATTTTTACAATAAAAAGGTAAAAAAATAATAATAAAAGTTGGAGCAAAAACATATGTTAACATTGACCCTTCGCCAATATTGAGATTCTTCATCAACATTTGTTGTGCGATTTGAGTTTGGTGGTATTTCCCGGTTTTGACCAACATACTATGTAACTGTGGTAACTGGTCTTGTCAAAATCAAGTTAGTTGGTGGTAAGAGCAAATAAATGTGTATTGCCCACATTTGGTTACTACGTAGTTTGGTCGAGCTTCTCCTCCAATTTGCAGTGAATGTCTGGATGTAATTGACTTACAATTGTACGCCGGCGGGCGGCCTATGTGCTTGCAATACCTCCACGGTCCATCGGTTCATGGTGGAGTAAAAAACCTAAATTTGTAGCATTGCAAATATGATATACCGTTAAAAATGAATTCAAACCGCCGGAAAGTTTGCTTTTAGCCTTAATACTTCGAATATAAAATTTGGTGACGATCGGATGAAATTTAGTGGCCGCGCACAGCTGGCTTTTTCAATTTGTATACTATAATGCCTGATTTCTATCGAAATTATATGATTAAAAACATTCAGTGCAATGTGGAATAATAATATGGGTTTTGGTACCCATGAAAGACAAAAATCTGTTGAATAAAAAAACAATTAAGTCTTTTGGTTCGCAATGACCAATAAGTATTGAACATGCCCTTTTAATAAATTTAATTTTTTAAGCTAATAAAGTTGGAAGACTTAAATTTGAAAATGTGGTTGTGCGTATATTAGTTAATAACATACAACTTTTTCAAAAATACTTATTTGCAGATGTCCTTATCGTCCTTATGCACCAAAAAATTTAAACTTTTTTTAATTATATAGATTTTTCTCTTGAATATGATATCCACATTGTTATTCCACATTGCATTGAGTTTTGTAAATATTTTTTTTTAATTACATATATATTTAAAATTTGAAAGTCCTTTAAAAAAAATCCTGACGTCAGTGAGCGAAACTAAATACGTAGTTAACTATTTTAGGTCCCTAGCTTCGCGAATACAATATTTTTTTTTGTTTATAAAATTTACTGTCATATGGTGTTACAGTTACGAGAATTGTCTCGCCATCGGAAACAAATTTATTGCCATCGAATTGATTGTCTATTACCAGTCGCCATAAAACGTCCGCCGAATGCAACTCGCCTGGGCAAGTCGTTTTCTTATTACCTGAATGAGTCGTTGCGATATTTGG